ATGTTTCTAGAAAGTGGGTGGAGCCAGGGGGGCTTTTGCCCAGCAGGACTTCTGATTAGCTGTGCAGACACATCGGTTCAGCGGCCGCTGCCATCGAACTGTTGGTTTTGTTCTCCCACGCGCTCCTCTTTCACAGCGTATTTTTTAAGCTTCCTGCTCATGTCCCCTGCATTTGGACATTCTCTGTGTGCAGCCCTGCCTTCTGTGGTGGCCGTTTTGTGCCCGGCTCCGCCTCTCGGGGCAGCCATTCTGTGGCTGCGCCCACCACCCTATGTCAGAATCCCAAAGGTAATGATAACAGAAGACAAAAAAAAGCGTAGCAAACAGACTTGATAATTAGTAAAGGTAAAGGTTCCCTTGCTCTAAAGCCAGTCGAGTCCAACTCTAGGGTTGCGGTGCTCATCTCTGTTTCCAAGCTGAAGAGTCAGCGCTGTCCTAAGAAGTTTCCGTGGTCATGGGGCCGGCATGACTAAACACCAAGGCGCACGGAACGCTGTTACCTTCCCACCGAAGTGGTACCTATTTACCTACTTGCAATTTCTTGCTTTCAAACTACTAGGTTGTCAACAATTACAACTAGCCAAAAAGCTGAAGAACATGTATTCCTCTCAAGTTTTTGTATGTCCTTATTAATCAATCTTTCAAAAGTGCTAACAGCTGGATCCCCCACCGAAGATACAAAAACAGGCTTCCTTCTAAATATAGTACTACTGCCCGTTTCCCATCACCTCCTGCCTGGTCCTTTTTAACTGGAGATGCCGGGGATTGAACCTGGGACCTTCTGCATGCCAAGCAGATGCTCTGCCACTGAGCCACAGCCCTTCTTTACAGCTCTCCAGGGTCTCAGGCGGAGGTCTTTCACATCACCTCCTGCCTGGCCCTTTTAACTGGAGGTGCCGGGGATTGAACTGAGGACCTTCTGCGTGCAAACCAGAAGGTCTTCCTCTGAGCTACGGCCTCCTCCCCAATGACTTTCTCTCCCACAGCACTCATGCCCTGGAGGTGGCTCAGGAGTTGCTTCTGGCAGACGGAAACCGAGCACCTGCGCCAAGAAGAAAAGAGAGGCGAGTACTGCTAAGCTTGTTCTGACGGCTAGCCCGGGGTCCCCAACACGGTGCCCTTCCCTGGTGCCTGCCAAATGTTTCTAGAAAGTGGGTGGAGCCAGGGAGGCTTTTGCCCAGCAGGACTTCTGATTAGCTGTGCAGACACATCGGTTCAGCGGCCGCTGCCATCGAACTGTTGGTTTTGTTCTCCCACGCGCTCCTCTTTCACAACGTATTTTTAAAGCTTCCTGCTCTTGTCCCCTGCGTTTGGACATTCTCTGTGTGCGGCCCTGCCTTCTGTGGTGGCCGTTTTGTGGCCGGCTCCACCTCTCGGGGCAGCCATTCCATGGCTGCGCCCACCACCCTATTTCAGAATCCCAAAGGTAATGATAACAGAAGACAAAAACAAGCGTAGTAAATAGACTCGATAATTAGTAGAGGTAAAGGTTCCCTTGCTCGAAAGCCAGTCGAGTCCGACTCTAGGGTTGCGGTGCTCATCTCCATTTCCAAGCCGAAGAGCCAGCGCTGTCCAAAGACATTTCTGTGGTCATGTGGCCAGCATGACAAAACACCAAGGTGCACGGAACGCTGTTCCCTTCCCACCAAAGTGGTACCTATTTATCTACTTGCAATTTCTTGCTTTCGAACTGCTAGGTTGGCAGGAGCTGGAACTAGACGGGAGCTCACTCCGTCATGCGGCAACTCGGGTCTCGAACTACCGACCTTCCGGTACTTCTTTCTCTACTTGCTCTAAAAGGTAAAGGTAAAGGTTCCCTTGCTCGAAAGCCAGTCGAGTCCGACTCTAGGGTTGCGGTGCTCATCTCCATTTCCAAGCCGAAGAGCCAGCGCTGTCCAAAGACATTTCTGTGGTCATGTGGCCAGCATGACAAAACACCAAGGTGCACGGAACGCTGTTCCCTTCCCACCAAAGTGGTACCTATTTATCTACTTGCAATTTCTTGCTTTCGAACTGCTAGGTTGTCAACAATTACAACTAGCCAAAAAGCTGAAGAACATGTATTCCCCTCAAGTTTTTGTATGTCTTTATTACTCAAACTTCCAAAAGTGCTAATAGCTGGATCCACCACCGAAGATATAAAAACAGACTTCCTTCTAAATATAGTACTACTGCCCGTCCTAGCATCTGGACCAAAGGATTTTTTAAGTTTAATAAGTCTCATGCGCTTAAAGAAGTCAATTTCCGTCTGGAAAGGACGGTAATTGGGTGTCGGGACAAAGCCCAACCCCAAATTAAGTAGCCTCCTTTCTTTCCTCAGTAAGTGCTCGATCAGAGAGATTCACAACTAAGTCTTCCTCCTGTTCTTGCGATTGCTGCGTGGTCCTTAAAAAAACTCCTGGATTTCTTTGTGTTGGGAGTCCTGATTTTGTTTTCCAAAGGTGCCCACAGGATCAAAAAGGTTGGGCACCCCTGCACTACCTCCTGATTGCAGTAAAGAAGCCGCAGTAAGGAGAGCCGAAAACCATAGAAGGTCCGTAATGAACACTGCAAAAACTAAGAGTTAATCCGACAGGCCACCTGAACAAACAAGTCTGGCAGCTGATCCTCCTTGGAACAGGAGGCCATATACTACTCACAGCTGCTGTGGACTGTCTATTTGCCGGTATATAAGTACGGCAACTGGGCACGCGGGACAGCAAGTACCTTTGGTTAGCTCATAAACTAGACCTGATCACAGCAACTCTGATTTATCTTTCGTGCACATTGTCACAACATTCCTTGCAACGTGGCCGTCTCACCTGACTGTGGGGGCATGTCTGTGCTACCTAAGTTAACCTCTAACCGGTGGTTTCTTTGCTGAATTCAGCCTCCCCTCCCCGTAGACAAACACACACACACAATTTGCGATTTGTTTGCCCAGAGTATTGAAGCCCGGAAATATAGAAGGAGCGGTAGGAACTTTCCATAAGGATTCATCACTAAGTTATTTAAATTTTATTTTTATTTATGAAAATAAATTTAATTAAAATAAAAGATTCATTATTTTTTATTTAAATTTACATTTCTTGAATAATTCAATTTAAATAAATAAACACACTCAGCTGTTGATCCTGCCCTTTAGAACCAGCTTCCTAATAATAATAAAATAATAATAATAATAGATTGGGTTTATACCCCACCCTTCACTTAAGAGTCTCAGAGCGGCTTACAATCTCCTTTCCCTTCCCTTCCCCACAACAGACACCCTGTGAGGTCGGTGGGTTTGAGAGAGCTCTCGAGGACTGCTCTTGAGAGAACAGTTCTGAGAGAACTTGTGACTGTCCCAAGGTCACCCAGCAGCTGCGAGTGGAGGAGTGGGGGAATCAAACCCGGTTCTCCCAGATCAGAGTCCATGCACTTAACCACTATAACAAACTGGCTCACACTACACCAAACTGGCTCGGATGTTCCTGCGTCCCACGGGCATAAGGCCACGTTACGCCGTCAGGCCTTTGCTTAAATTTTGTGGAAACTGCCCCACTGCCTGCATCTGGTAACTGTTGGCTGGCTTACCCGCCAGGAACTTGCTCATTTATATTTATTGATGTTTTATGGATTATTTTTAACTAGCCAGTGCTATTTTAATATTTACTTTTGACTGACTGGTTATTGTAGAATGTTTCATTGCAAACCGCTCTGAGACCTACAGGAGAAGACGCACTACACAAATGTAGAACAAAATACATTGAGGCACATTTAGAACCCAGTGGCAGCTTTGAGACCGACAAAGTTTTATTTGAAAAAGTGTGCATGTACACGAAAGCTCATACCTTGAATAAAACTTTGTTGACCTTAAAGGTGCCGCTGGACTCTGAATTTGCTCCTCTGCTTCAGACCAACACGGCTGACCACCTGGATTGAGCTACATTAAGGCAGTTCAGTCTGACCCTACCTACAAACAGCAAGGACTACACGCACTACAGAAAAATTAAAATGCTAGCCCCCAAATACATTCTGCACTATGCATAGTTACACAAAATACATTGTCTTTATTTTAAATTTTCTCCTTTATTTTAAATTTTTAAGTTTTCTCCTCTTGCGTAATTTATTATTAGACCATTTATACCTGGCCTTTCCCCACGATTCAAGGAGGCTTACAGTAACAATGTACTCTAGTTTGCTAGACCAGGGAGGGGCGGATGCTCATGCAATATCCCCAACCACTGGAAGCCTTGCGCAATCTACTCTCTGCCTTTTGAAACCTCAAAAAAACCCCTCACTAGGCACTACCTTCAGAAATCATAAGGGCCGGGAACAAGGCTTTTGTTTAAAAAAATGAAAACTGAGTTGCGTAGGAAGCGGAATTTCCCGTCCACTGCTACATTACATGCTTGGTGTAGTTTGGTGTAGTTGTTAAGTGCGTGTACTCTAATCTGGGAGAACCTGGTTTGATTCCCCACTCCTCCACTTGCACCTGGCTGGAAGACCTTGGGGAAGCCGTAGTTCTGATAAGAGCTGTCCTTGAAAAAGAGCAGTTTCTGTCAAGAGCTCACTCAGCCCCACCTACCTCACAGGGTGTCTGTTGTGGGGAGGGGAAGGGAAAGGAATTTGTAAGCCACTCTGTGACACCTTTCGGTAGTGAAGGGCGGGGTATAAATCCAATCTCTTCTTCTTCTTTCCTGAAGTCCTGCATCGTCATAGCATGTACACAGCCCTGTCCATCACTTATATGTTGGGTTTGGCTTACAAAGCCTACCAGGAGAAGCCCCAGGGAAGAGATGAACCGGCTTATTTCCGTTATGGCACAAGGCAAACGTCCCTGAAAGTCTACGGCACCGAGAAAAGTTCGGCACCCTGTTATCTGCCAACCAGAGTAGTTCCTTCTGCTTTCCCGGCAAACAAGCAGGATTGACAGGACGGGAGCAAGCAAGGGAGATGGTTAGTGCAGGGAAGGGACCGTTAGTCGCGGCTTGCTGCTATAGGCAGGGGGGCTTTATGCCAGAGGTTAAGACACTCACGCTTCTGATTGGGTTAATTTCTCATTCCAGTCCTCCAGTGTGCTGCTGGCCGAAACGTATCTATAAATACAACGGAGGTTAGAGAAGGGGGCCGACGCCTTTCTTCCACAGCACTCCAAATCACAAAAGCGCGCAAAGGCTAAAGCGACGGCTTCCTCGTGTTATTTAGCGGGTACGGAACGTTGGAACCCAGGGTCCTTCTGGAATGGAAGCTCCACCAGAAAACACACAATGGGTCTCAGGAAGCCTTGTCCAGAGAGGTTACTCAGGTGTGCATGGGGGGGGGGGGGGTATTTGTGAATTTCCTGCACTGTGCAGGGGGGTGGACTAGATGACCCTGGAGGGCCCTTTCAACTCTATGATTCTGCTATTTCCCACGTGCCTTCTGATGGAATGGTCTGCCTGAGGAAGCCGAACGGAATTATCCAAGAGGGCTTTGCTGTGCAGGCAACAGGGCTGCACTGTACAAAGGGGTTCCACAAAGCTGCGTTGAGACGTGATTAGGGAATGTAGTCTACACCACTGTGCATCACTTGCTGTAAGTAGGATCCTGTTATGCAATTATTTGCAACGCATAATGTGTCGTGCTAATGCTTATGCAATGCTTCAGTTCTTCCGGGTGGTTCCGGACTTCTGAAACCCTAATGCATTGTTTTTGGCCCTGGCTATGGCCTGGTGGAACACTCTTCCAGGTGTGATCAGGGCCCTGCGGGACCTGGTAGAATTCCGCAGGGCTTGTAAAATAGACTCTAACCCTAACCACCACCACCCTTTGCAACATTTGCTTGAGGATACCTGTACTTACCGTTGACCTCTCTGTTTTAGTCCAGTCTTCCCCCTCCCCCTATCAGTTGGGTTGATAAGAACATTAGAAGAGCCCTGCTGGATCAGACCAGGGGTCCATCTAGTCCAGCATCCTGTCTCACACAGTGGCCAACCAGTTCCTCTGGAGGACCAACAACAGGGCAGAGATGCTGAGGCCTTCGGAAGAACATCAGAAAAGCCCTGCTAGATCAGACCAGGGGTCCATCTAGTCCAGCATCCCGTCTCACACAGTGGCCAACCAGTTCCTCTGGAGGGCCGACAACAGAGGAGAGAGGCCTTCAAAAGAACATAAGAACAGCCCTGCTGGATCAGGCAAGTAGTCCATCTAGTCCAGCATCCTGTCTCACACTGTGGCCAACCAGGTCCTCTGGTAGTCCAACAACAGGGTACAGAGGCCGAGGCCTTCATAAGAACATCAGAAGAGCCCTGCTGGGTCAGACCAGAGGTCCATCTAGTCCAGCATCCTGTCTCACACAGGGGCCAACCAGTCCCTCTGGTGGTCCAACAATAGGGTACAGAGGCCGAGGCCTTCATAAGAACATCAGAAGAGCCTTGCTGGGTCAGACCAATATTTAAGGGCAAATTTCTTTTAAAAACTCTCTGTAGAAACACACCTGGTGGAAAGCTTAGAAGAAGAAGATGAGATTGGATTTATACCCTGCCCTTCACTACCCAAAGGTGTCTCAGAGCGGCTTTCAAACTCCTTTCCCTTCCCCTCCCCACAACAGACACCCTGTGAGGTAGGTGGGGCTGAGAGAACTGTTCACAGAGACTGCTCTTTTTCAAGAACAGCTGTGCCAAAACTACAGCTTGCCCAAGGCCATCCAGCCAGGTGCAAGTGGAGGAGTGGGGAATCAAACCCAGTTCTCCCAGATTGGAGTCCACACACTTAACCACTACACCAAACTTAGAGGGCAGAAGAGGATGTCTGTTTCCTGCCTACTATTTCTATATGAAGTCGTGAGCTGTGACTCATGGAACCTCGTCCCCTGACACAGATTTTGTTAGTCTTTAAGGTGCTCCCGGACTCTTGCTCTTTTTTTTTATCTGAAGGAAAAAGATATGAAGACTGAGCTGCTACCAAGGTCGTGCTAATACTGCAGCAACAGGTTTCTATACTGTAGAATTAAAGGAACAGCAGCTTCCGAAACACAGTCCAGGATTATTCGCCCTTCTAATTCTTCCTAGCATTTTAAGGCAGCCATCTGAGCTATCATTATAACTGGCTGGCTAGTTATTTGACCTCCGTGCTTCTTCATGGAAAGAGTCAGTGTGGTACAGCGGTTAAGAGCGACAGAGTCTAACCTGGAGAACCGGGTTTGATTCCCTGTTCCTCCGCAGAAAGCCTGCTGGGTGACCTTGGGCCAGTCCCAGTTCTCTCTGAGTTCTCTCAGCCCCACCTACCTCACGAGGTGACTGTTGTGGAGAGGAAGGGAAGGGGATTATAAGCCGCTTTGAGACTCCTTGGGTAAAGGTAAAAGTTTCCCTCGCTCGAAAGCCAGTCGAATCCGACTCTAGGGATGCAGTGCTCATCTCCCTTTCCAAGCTGAAGAGCCAGCGCTGTCTGAAGACATTTCCGTGGTCGTGTGGCTGGCATGACTAAACACCAAGGCGCACGGAACGCTGTTACCTTCCCACCGAAGCGGTACCTATTTATCTACTTGCAATTTCTTGCTTTCAAACGACTAGGTTGGCAGGAGCTGGGGTCAGAGACGGGAGCTCACTCCGTCACGCGGCACTCGGGTCTCGAACTGCCGAGCTACCGACCTTCCGGTCTGCAGCTCAGTGTTTTCACCACTTCAGCAACTGCGGCCCTTTGAGACTCCTTAGGGTAGGGGAAATCGGGGTATAAAAACCTACTCTTCTTCTCCATCGTAATTTTAAGACATTGCAGAAAGAAATTCCAGCAATCCCCTTTGAACTGAATGCTTCCCCCCCCCAAAGGATCACTAGATCATGTTAAAACTCAAATTCAAGCATGCACACATATAGACTCCCTTTGCACAACCAAACAGGTACACACGGGTCCCTCTGTGGACACCTCAGCCGCTCTGCAGGGATCACAGCCGAGTGAGGAAACTGTATAACTACAGACGCTCACTCTTGTCGTAGCACGAAACTTAGACATGTGCTCGGAAGAACATCCTAGGAAAACGTCCCGAATCATTAACGCTCACCGAACTTGGCGGGCCCCACCCTGAATGGCCCAGGCTACCTCGAATCTCATAGAATCATAGAATGTTAGGGTTGGAAGGGACCTTGGAGGTCATCTAGTCCAACCCCTGCACTCTGCAGGAGCATAGCTGAAAGATAGCCCTACATATCAACAACATACCCAAAAGAGGGTCATCCAGCCTAAGCTTGAAAACGTCCAGAGAAGGAGCATCCACCACCTCCCGAGGCAGACTGTTCCACTGCTCAACCACTCTTACAGTTAGGAAGTTTCTCCTGACATTTAGCCGGTAACGACTCCCTTGTCATTCCCACCCGTTAGATCTAGTCTTGCAATCCGGAGCAAGAGAGAATAGATCTGCTCCATCTTCTACATGACAGCCCTTCAGATACTTGAAGGCTGCAATTGTGTCCCCTCTAAGCCGTCTCTTTCCCAGGCTAAGCAGACCCAACTCTTTCAGCCTTTCCTCCTAAGACTTGGATTCCAACCCTCTCACCATCCTGGTTGCCCTCTTCTGGACACGCTCGAGCTTGTCAGCATCCTTCCTAAAATGTGGTGCCCAAAACTGGACACAGGACTCCAGGTGGGGCCTGACCATCGCAGAATAGAGCGGAAGTACCACCTCCCTTGATCTGGACACAATCTCATCACAGGAGGTAAGCGAGGTCAGCCCTTGAGAGTACTTGGATGGGAGACCAGCATGAAAGTCCAGGGTTGCTACATAGAGGCAGGCAATGGCAGACGCCGCCTCTGCTCGTCTCTTGCCTTGAAAACCCTTAAGGGGCTGCCGTAAGTCAACGACGGCCGAATGGCACTTCCCACCACCAGACTCGGCGGGCCTCTGCAGCCTGTGTAAACGGCACTGTGCAGCATGGTCAGGCGCTTCCCGGGCTGCTGCTTTCAAAGCATCTCTCCTCGTTCTCCCTGACTGCCTGGGACACCTGGACCCCTCCCCAGGACACCTAGACGGTTCAAACTCACTCATCCAGGGTCCACGACTGCACACCCTGGGGAGCCTCTGCTATATCTTCACTCTCCCGTTTCTCACTGTACAAGAACTCCTTGTGGGCACTCAATGAAATTGCTGAGCAGTCAGGTTGGAACGGATAAAAGGAAGTCCTTCTTCCTCCAAAGAGTGCTGAACACGTGGAATTCACTGTCAGTGTTCAAGCTTGGCGGCTACAAGCACGGACGGCTTCAAGAGGGAATTAGATAAGCATATGGAGCAGAGGTCCATCATTGGCTATTAGCCACAAGGTATAGATAGGGACTCTGGGGCGAGTGATGCTCTGTCTTCTTGGTGCTCGGGGGGGTCAACAGTGGGAGGGCTTCTAATGTCCTGGCCCCACTGGTGGACCTCCTGATGGCACTGGTAGTTCTGGCCACTGTGGGATACAGAGTGTTGGACTGGATGGGCCTTTGACCTGATCCAACATTGGCTTCTCTTATGT